GCCATGCATTCGACTTCCATTTTCGCAGTGCTCCAGCATGTGCTTTGCTTTACCAAAAACTTGTGTGAAACACTCTATGCTTAAACATTAGAGATTTTGATTCAAAATCGCTGACTGCCTTTAAAGGAGCAGAAAATCTTGTCTCGCTTTCCTACACTTGTACTATTGTGACAGTGACTAAATACGCGCAAAAAATCATTTTACATCTTAAATAGCAAAGTTCACATAAAAAAGCCTTTTTGGGCATCTTTTTTCCCAAGGCTATACCTCATTATGGAAAGATGCACAATGGCAATGGCCACCAAGAGTATAATACGTTAGTATTATTATCGCAAGATACATAGAAAGTTCTCAAATAAACTGAATTTCGCGGTTTTCCCCTGCGTTGCGTGCCAGTATAGCCAATGTGTTTGAAAGCTGCTTCCCTTGACGAGATAGGGTGGTGCAATGGCAATTCAAAAGCCGCTGCTTTAAAGGCAAGCGCTCCGAGGATCTCGTACCAGGGTGAAAATCGTGTCGAGGACGTGGTCAGATCAGTACGACCCCCCCCTCAGATCGGGTCTTGATACGACCCCTCTAACTTTGATTTGATGTGAATAAGCGAGTTCCATCAATGTACAGCAAAGCATTCAGTTGCAGCGCGGTTTATCCGTGGGTCAGATTTGCCGAAACCCCGCTCGAAACCGTCGAAATCTACACTCTCGATGAAAAGGTTCCATTCCCCCATTTCATAACCTTTGGAGCAGTATGTGGTAGGGTTAGATAGAGCTGGATTTGCTACTACCGGGCAATATTGAAATTGATCTAAAATCTTTACACTCGAAGAGATAGGGTCTCTCAAATTTTGTCGAGGGAGCGTCGAGGATGCTGAATTTTTCATGCGAGTTTTTGCCACTTAAAAGGCAATATCTCTCTAATTTCGCAAGATCTTGGAAAAGGAAGACAGTTTTGGAAAGCGGAAGGTTTGCGCTTTCTAACAGTATGTTTAGCTTCCTTCTACATTTCTAGTTGAGGAGATATTTGCGTCGAGGATCTATCGAGGATGATTCTCGGCCGCTCAAAAAGCCGCTCCCTTCTTCACCATTGCAATGTAATTCGTTGCAACGCTCGAAATGTGTCTCGCTCGAAATGTCCCCCAACGTAAGCGACAAGAAAAAGGGCAACCGTCATCGTCCGATCTCGTCTCAGTATAGGCCATGCATCCGACCTCCACTCAAGTTGTAGAATCTATTGAAAGGTGTTACACATCCTTATGATGACCTGTTGACAGAAATTGTTGCTAGTAACTATTTTCGCTAACTCCGTTAACTAAGCGAAGAGTTCACTCGCCCATGTTCTATTCCAGAACTCTCGCCAATGGAACGCTACCCCTACTGCCGGGACATTTTCAACGACGGTATGAGGGGTGCGAGAGACGGCGGGCCTAGATAAAGGAGGTGCCTTCTACAGCACGTGTACACATTACGGAGATGCACTTTCATTCCTTGTACTGCTTTCAAATACGTCCTTCTCAAAAGGTAAAGGAATGGAGCGACCTGGACCTGCCAAGAATATTTTATCTCATTTTTTCTCATGTAACTTGTCTCTTGCTGACTACACACCTCTCCATCTAATCATGTCCATGCCCAATGCGTTCGCTGACCCATGACCCATCCCCTGACAACACGACCCTGCCTGTCGAGTCCAGATTGCAATAGCGATATTCACTCCTCGCCTCGTACCGTGCTGATAAACATTCACCATTCATTACAATGCGATAGCCCGCAACAAGCTCACTCTGTTCGAAGCTTTGACGATAGCTAATTTGCGAATATAGGATGAACCTTGAGGCTAAGGTAGAACAAAAGTGAGCAATAGGGTACATGTAGCCATGTAATAGAGCTCGTCTTGTCATTCTGAGCGAAAGCCCATGGTGACGCACTCCAGTCCTTACTAGCTTTACCTACTTTAGCTGTATTTCCGATCTGGGTAAAGCTAATACCGAGTTTGAGTAAAGGTCCCTGACTGCATGAGATTCCATAATCGATAACTATGAACCAGCCAACAGAGCGGTAGTATATTTCGTGTTGAACAGCCGGTGTGGGCGAGAACGGGGCTTTGCATGAATAATTCTCAGGACTTTGACGAGGGTTTACAGTCGGGTATTCGCACCTCTGTATTGGAGAGCTGTGTCTGACGTGATGACCGTCGTCAAAGTACTACCACTTGTCCTACTCATCGTCATTCCTGATGTCGTCATCGCTGCTCTAATCCAATGTAAAAAATGTGATTATGATTTCGAAACGGAGCAGGAGATGTGAGTGTTTCAAGCGTTGTCGGACCCTCAAAAGGAGGGTAAGGGGAAATGAGAAATCCACCTAATTCCGTTTCCCGAATTTCGTGCTCTATTATCTTCGCAATAATTTCCTTTCCTTGAAGATTACTTAACTTTATTTTTATTCACTTTACTTAAGGAACTTAAGAAATTATTGTAAGAGTCAAGGATAAAGGTGGAAATAATTGGAAATGAGCAAAGTTCGGCAAGAAACCACTGCTTATTTGATTTTTAGCTTTTCAAAGTTCCCCTTTCGTTACAAACTTCGCCATCTCCCACGATAAAAATGTTTCTAGGCCTATTCTTCACTACCTCATCCCTTGGCACCTCTGTTTGCACCACGTTATCGTAATCGCTACTTTTAAGTCCGACTTGAGCAGGGTGCTATTCGTAAGGTTGCCTTAACCACCTCAGCCGATCTTAGCACTTCAAAGTAAATGGATCTTGACTCTGAACCAGTTACGGAGATGTACAGGAACGTTGGCCTTAGGCGTTGTCATAGGCTCCTACTACTGCAATGATTAGCAGGAGTAGATTAACGATTATGTATGTATATAAGCGTTTTCTAACAACTGTTATTTGAATGTATAACTATGTATCCCATTTTATGAAGTTAACTACGTATATTTTTTTATTTATTACGTTTGCATAAGGCAATCGTGGCAAATACAATCTTAACAAATCACTCATGATATGGTATGAAGCCGCGCTCATGGTATAATCTTCTTGAATGTACGACCAGCTCTCCTTGACACGGTCGAATTATCTTTTGCGACTTGGTCTGCAGCGGTGGCATAAGCGAAGATGACTTATAGGTGAAAAATTCTACTGAACAAATCAGATCTTCTGAATAAAGGAGTGATTGATGAATATTCACAAAGCCTCCTTCAGAAAAAGGTGGTGTTGTCAAAAATACAAAAGTAGTGAAGATATACACATGTGTACTCAGTGGATAGTCATTGTCCACTACCCTCGTCTTCATACTCACAAGCATCTCAGAACCTAGCCCTTCATGGAGCATCATCTCCTAATCAGAACCTTTTTCCAGATGTGGTAAAGATTGCGCAGGCACATTATGTTTCTACACGGAATATTATTACGAAGAACCGGAACGAGTGTTTAGTAGAAAGGTAAGGCGATGACAAGGAAAGGTGCAACCCTTTTTATAACTAAAAAGGATAAAGCATTTGCCGTTGATCAATCCCTTTTTGGGATGCGGCACGCATTCTACTTCCATTTGTACATTCGTAGTGGCGTTTGAATGCGATGTGGCCTATACAATGACTTGCGGGGGCCAGCCGATGTACAAGTCAGTGTTTTTATCCTCCCAGACAAGTCTGGTACCAATTAACCGACCCCGGAGGGATGGAAGGCTTGGTTGGCCCGGGCGACTCACGACCCAGGATTTGATCCCCGGACCGCTCGCGTGGTAAGCGTGCCACTTGTCACTACACCACTTCCGCCCCCACCTAAACTATGTATGCTAATTTAAAAACAAGTTAAACGATTAAGGCACGCCTCCATTGACAGTATCGCGTTATTACCATTGAGGATTCTATTAATTGTCAATTAAACTCTTCCGAAGAATTCTTGTATAACGTCTCACATCCTGTGAATGTTAGACGGCTTGGCCAAAAACTGCCTTGGATAAAATACGTGTGAACAATCATGGGATTTTCCTACATACATATGACGAAACTACCATTCTCTGAGCTGCTTTGCTTACCATGTTCATTGCCTCGATGGAAGTTTTTGGTGCTTTTTTTCGAGTTTTCCAGTAGAACGCGTTCAATTTTACAAATTTTCTACTTTTTATAATAGGTGAGTGACTTGTTGGAGGTATAAAGTAAATGAGAACTTACAGTTCGCTTACCTTTTCAATCAAGAAGATTTCTAAGATTTTTTTCCCGTACTGAGCTCGAGCCGGCATTTGCAGCCTTTTGATCGGTCGTGCTTACCTGTGTAGCTACAGCTATGTATAGCCATCCTGAACGCCCGGAGCTCCACAATATAAAAATTTCCTCGAATTCCTCTTTTTCTTTCTTCTACTCCATTCTGTTTCCTCCAGCTTACCCATCCATTGTTATCATGCCACAAGTCTGCGGCCTAACACTTTTGATCTGACCCTCTTTGCTCTGCCGCTTGATTTCCTCTCACCAACCCCACTTGGCTATCATGTTATCGACCGATATAATACGGCATCATCAACTTTCTAGCGTTCTCTGTGCCTTTTCAATGATTTCCACCTTTTTCATTCTTTTCTCCGTTAATCGTGCACCCCCCGCTCATCTATAAATCACTTAGACGATTTTCCTGTGAGAGGGGGGGGCATATTGGTGCATAGTAGCCGAAGTATTTCGGAATACCAACAGAAAATCTTGTTATTGCCAACCATTAAAAAGGTGGGAGCCAATGCAACGGAACAATTGTAAGCCACTGTTGTGAGGATTCTCGCCTGAGCTTTACCAGGTAGCTTCGGGATGAGCGATCACTTCTACATTGTTGCACCACTCCTTAATGTGCAAGACACCTATTAAGAATTAAAAAAACACATGAAGTGAGGACGAAACGCAGCTCCCGGAATTTCAAACCCAGCATTTGTTGAGTATTTCACTTTCTCCTTCGTTTTTTTTTTGAGCTTAGGCGCTGATTTTACAAATTCAACACAATGAGGGTGACATAAGCCTTACAGCAATTGTGTAGAAGCGTTTTTGAGAGTATTGTCTATAGACGTGATGCAGACGTGAAATAAGAAGTATTCATTGCTTACACAGAGGGTGCTACAAATTAAAGCAACTTCAGAATATATTCCCGTTTCAAAATCAAGTCATTCTCGCCGCATTGATCGGGGCATTTGCGATTTCTGCGATTCGCGAGATTCGCAACTGGGCAGGTGTCAGAGTCGCCAACGGAAGCGCGATGCGAATCCCAGCTCTCGTCGGTGACTCTGACACCTGCCCAACTGCGAGAGGTGCCGGTACTTTTTTCTCATGAGGGACTGTTTCAGGGTTGTATCAGCGGCGCTCCTCCAGCCACCCTAGGTTGTCGGAGCAATCAGAACGGACAACTGCTGTGTATATGCGAGTGAGTGATAAAAAATCGTACCCCTTCGCATTATCACTCCAACTTTTCATTTCAGCACTGATCATTGCAACCGAGATCAGCACAGACAGGCCAGCGATACAATAACTCAACTACCGTGGCAGGTATGCAAACGGCAAATCGTCAATGGAATAGACCCGCCACCACGGTGGATGCCACCTTGTGCGGGCAACTACTGCATTTACAAGAAGAGCAAAGTAAGTTACTTACAATGGGTTTTGAAAAAATCAAGCTCTCTCAAAGGTAGGGGGGGGGGTGTTGCCATATATACTTTATGAAGTGGACGTATTTTTTCTGTACAAGCACAGAATATTATAACGCACGGGATAGCAGGCACGAAGCTAATTCCTTTTAATCTAAAAGTCCACATTGATTGAATAGTATTGAAAGAGTGGATAGAAATATATAAGTTCCATCAGAGATCTGTGCGCTTCGGTTATTGCTCTTTTTTGCAATACCGTTGTCAGCAGTCGCAAATTTTACCATGAACCTGGCTTTCATTTTCCGAAAGGTTCGTCGTAGCTGCCACATAGAGTTAAAACTGTTGGGATCCTTCGAAATCTCAAGAATTTTCGAAATTGTTTTGAATTTAGCCTAGTTTCTCTCATCCCCGAAAAACTCAAGAATTCGTTATAAGAAGCGTAGACGTCGTTCAGCTGTCCTCCGTCTCGGTCGCTCTCTTTTGAATTGTTGAGTTATGGATTGTGGATTATGAGTTATGTGATCGAAGCTCATCGAAAACCGGGATTTAATCTGATTACCGTCTCGGATCTTCGCATGTTTTTCGTCCCTATTACGCTGACCAGTTGCAACCACTTTCTATCACCCATCAACGCTGATACTGATGCACGGCCCGGCGTTGATTCTAGGAAAGCAAGCAAATATGTAGACGTTATTGGTGATAGGATGCGATCCTCCTGTGCGCTGGTAGGTGTCGTAGGACGGCCTGCAGCGCCTTTTCACTAATGAATGGCCTCCGTTCATCTCTCACTGTTAGCCAGTGCACCCCTTTCGGCTCTGGCTTTGGCAATTGCCACCATCTGATTCGGAGGCCTGCATTACCGGCCTAATAAAATATTTCTACTACCCACTGCTAGAGGTTCTAGAGGTTACTTAAGGCTACCTTCCCTTCTTGATTTCGCTTTGAACCCGCCACTTTATTGTGTGTTGCTGTTAGCATTACAAGTATTTGAATACAAGTGCAGGACTGAAACGGCACTGGTCAGCAATTTGCTAGATAGCTGCCAAAGGTATAATATAATGCTGTGCAAGATCAGGAGCTTTTTCGACACACCTAAGAAACTTGGAATTTTTCCGACATAACCTAGAAAACGGAAAAGCTGTGTCATTTCACAGCTTCTACTTTCTTCGCTTGTGATCGAAAAGCTTACAAATTTCATTGTTGTGTTGTCTATTTGCTCACAAGTGATAAATGATAGCTAAAAACTTTCTTTTTCAACGAAAAAAGGCTCAGGGCTGAGAGAGTTAAAATTACAACTAAAGGTTCACAAAGATAGCCCTTCATTTTTTGTTATCTTCATTTTGTGCCTCTTTTATTCAGACTTGAATCGAGGTTCCGCCCAGTGTTTCGGGATGATAAGTTGATCCAACCAAAAAAAAATTCAGAGCGTATTCAGTCCACTTAACGCTTTAACGATCGTGTGGCCTCAAAGAATTTTCAAAAAAATGAAGATGACGCCATGCAGCGCCCTTGTTGCAGGTTTATCTGTTTTAGACGCCTACTGCTGAGAATTTAGAAAGATTCTCATTGAAACATACAGGGGGGCCAAAAAAAAAAGACATTTTGCCTATGTCGGACTTCGGCTCTTTTTTCTTCGCAGAGATTGCTGTCGTTGACGGGAGTTCCTCAGCAGAGTATTCCCTAAGTGTTCCTCTATTAGTGTACGCAGGCTCTCCTTCACTGCCCTCACCGTCTTCAGAATATGACGTCATCTGTCACCGTCGTCAGGCTCAAGGAGGTCTACCTGAAGCTCTTACGCAATTTCGTGAATCGATTTAATGTTGGATAGTTTTCTAGAGGCATTAGCTACCACTGTGCAAATCCCCTCGGAACTAGCTTTCCAGTAAGGGTCGTTATGGTACACGATCCTTCGAAGACCCCATTGAGATCGACCAGTGCACCATGTTTCCAGGGCTAATTCTTCTGATGCCGTCCACGTACGTGGCCACTATGAAGATTTTCTTATAGAATGGAATGCACTCTTTAATAAATAATCCTTAATAACAGAACTTGCATTTTTCCAGTTCACACACGAAAACGGTACCAAGGGCTTCTCGCTTTCGAATGATTGCTCCAACAGTAATGACTTTGACATGTTCTCCAGTCGAGTGCCCTTTCTGTTCTATCCGGAGAGCTGCGCCCGATTGGAGTATGGAGGACAGCAGGACGAGACCATGTGCTACGGTTCAATGGTTGGTTTTTTTTTACATTGCGGGACATTGAGTGCCTTTCATACCAAGTGAGGGTGCTTAATTCGCCTATTGACAGAGCACTAGGCTATCTGAATGGGTTGCGAACGTACTCGAGTCTGTTCGAAGTAAAATCGAAATCCCCAATCGTGAATACTTCCGGAAGGTTTAGTCGAATGTCATGCAGATTTTCTCTCCAGAAATCTACCGTACATTCCTATACGGAAGCTCTGTCAAGGGCAGTTCTGTGTAATTTCAGCGTTGCCGCAAGGTGATGTATACAGGTGAGGTTTTTTAGCAAGGTTTCGCAACCTGGGTTTTATGTGCTCGGCCTCTGAATATCCTGCACGCACCTAGAACACCAGTAATGAACCCGGGAAGACCAGCAGTAGTTTTGAGCTCCACCTCTTCGAGAACGTCCATCTATGGCCTATTCACGATTGGATTCCAATGGCACAATCCTGTAGCCAAAAACCAGGCCTCACGCGACCTGCACTGGTTCCTACTTATTTCGTTCCATGTCACTGCTGCAGATTTTATAACGGCAAGAAGCGCTCATCACCGCTCATATAGTCCCAGGATCAAATCCTGGGTCAAATTTTAAACAGGCTGGCTCGGTGGGTTTAACTATTCAATAAGGCCGAAAAGGGATTCATCCATTAGCTCGTCTCAGACAGTACTTTTGTAGGTCATCCATCAATCCAATGTCACAGCGATTCTGGGTGTAAGGCGCACGTGTGGCGTATACTATCTATGGAAACTCAGTTTTTTATCCTTCGTGGATAGTAGTATTGCCAATACCAATAGTGTTTCGTTATAAGCTCATTTAGATTGCTAGATGTGTATAGAACTCAAAAAACAGCTTTACTCTAAAATTCTTTCAAAAAAGAGTAGATAGAACAGCTCCGTTGAGATTAATTTCATTTTGAGATCATTTTACCAAATGTTATAATCTGTAAATATTTTCAATTATTAAACATACATACGCTTCAGAGGGTGCCTGACGATTGATCAAAGCAAATCCGAACGACAATTAGCTGTGAGTCATTTCTTTCTGTTGATTTTTAGACTTTGTTATTTGTAAGTGTTTATCTTTTGTTTCCTTTCTTACCATGATATTCCTAATCATTATATGTTCCAGCCTGGCTACTATCGTTCTTACAACGGTATAGAACAATGGATATGTGCTGCACCAAGCTGTAATTACAATCTACACAAGATGGAGGAATCGTGGCCAGAGGAACTGGCTGAATTCAAGTTGGTTATGTTATAATATTAACGCATTACGAAATTAAGCACCGACGC